TTTTTTTTTTTCCCCGCCTTTCCCCCCCCCCCCCCCCCCCCCCCACCCCTCTTTCACTTTCTTTTTGTCATCATTCAAAATAAAAGCTCTCCAGGAGCATTCACTTGATGGTGTAATATGTCACGAAAGGTTTCTTCAGGCTCTTTAGTGCTATCTGCGTGGCAGTTACTTGTGAGAGTAACAATAACTTCTCTTCTAAGGTCCCATCGAACAATGTTTCCTTGAACTTGCTTCACCAATGTCTCTCATACTGAATATATTAAGAAACATGCTGGCGTATTTTGGTGTTCCTGTAGACCAGGTAAATGTTTTTGATGAATTTTGCTAACTTTATTTTTGGGTCTCGTCGTTTTGAGACAGGGTATCATGCATGTAATGATAAATTAAAAAAAAAAAAAGGCAAAGTGGTAACCTTTCAGAGGGCCATGCCAATGTATGCCACTAAGTAAACAGGCAACAGAGTTAGCAAGAGGTTTATTTGGGGAGGTTGTGGGGGAAGGGGAAGAGGAAGAGGAAGAGTGGCAGGCCATGTCCTATTGGGGACATGAGAGAGGCAGGTAGACAGACAGAGACAGAAGAAACGAGAAAGAAGAGGCAAGAGAGCGAGCTGTGCCTAGCAGGGACTTTTAAGGGGTGCACACGGTGGAAAAGTACCTGTTGGCAGGTGATGATGTAATTTAACTGCTTTGGTGGCAGAGGCAGGCTGCTGCCTTTGTGGAAACTAACAGTGTAGACCAGGCTCAATGTCTGGATTTTGATGACTTTACTCTTGGGTCTCATTATTGTTTTGAGCCAGGAACTCTTGTAGCCAAAGCTGGGCTTATTCTCCTGTCTCTACTTCCCAGGATCTGGGATTACAGATGTACACCATCAGGTTGGGTTTTGGTGTATCATTTTGAACATGTTTTCCGCCCTGGTTAGTTTTTATTGTCAACTTGACATTAGAGTTCTCAAGGGCTGCTTAGACAGGCCTGTGGCCCTGTCTCTACAGGATCTTCTACTGGCAATAGACACAGTAAGGCTCTGCTACCTATGAAGGACACCATTCTTTGGCAATGAGTTCTGATCTGTATATGAATGTTAGTTGAGCATGAGCCAGTGGTTTCTGCTTGAGTTCCTGCCTGACTTCCCTCAATGATGAGTTGGGCCTGAGAAGTTGTGCTGGCTAGTTTTATGTCAATTTGACACAAGCTATAGTCATCTGAGAGAAGGGAACCCTGACTGAGTAATTGCCTCCATAAGATCAGGCTGTAGGCAAGTATGTAGAACATTTTCTTAATTAGTGATTGATGGGGGAGGGCCTGGCCCTGGCATAGGGTGAGCCGTGCCCTCTGATGGAGATGTACCAACATCCTGGTAATTTGGCACATTTATTATATACAGCTGAACAAGGATGTGTTTCTTACATACAGGGGAACAAGGAGGCATGTTTGGTAATCTTGTGGTGGCATCTCTTCATGGGAGCAGTCTCAGACTGCAGCTGTCTGGGAGGAGGAAGTTGTGGTTGATACATGTTGCAGACACAGTAACCAAACAGACTACCTTGTTGTTGTCATGGGTCTGAGGCATTCCAGCCCTTGATATGATCATGCTCATGTCAACAATACCCATCCACTCAGGACTTTATCTGCTCCCCATGGAGTTGGGAGTTAAAGACTAGCCTAGGCTATATGGCAGGCCCCTGACAAAATTCCAAAGCTCAACATCAGCTGACATGCCAATTCAGACAGGGTGAGTTCCACATGGTCCCTCCCCTATAGGAAGAGTTATAGGTGGTCAGTGGCTGCTTTGAGAGGAAGACTCAATTGAGGAATGAACTCTCATACAAGCTGTACAATAGGCTATACAATTTCAAGTGGTCAGACCTGGACACATGTACATATAGACAAAGCTAAATGAACTCTTGTAGTTTTGTATATACATGTGCATATATGTATATATACACACATTTGTATATACATGTGTCAATCCTAAATTACAGCAGAGATCATAATTTGGGATGGGGACATGAACGGAGTTGGAAGGGCAGTCAGGGCTCATGTATGAAGTCCCCTCCCCCTCAAAATATTAAAGACTGAGATAGAAAAACACCAAACCTGCCCCCAGAAAGAATTTCTTTAGGTGGTGATGGCGGTTGAATTGGAGTAATCTGAAGGATGTGAGGAAGGAAGAGTGCTATCAGTAATCTTCCTGTGAAAACTTTGGGAAAGAGATTGAGAGAGACCATCAATTGGAAGGAGCAGCAATATTGAATTTCTTTTTCTTTTCAGCATTAGAATTAATATATTTGCTTTCTATTGTTGTGATAAAACACCAAAGCCAAGTTAGGGGGTGAAAGTTTGGCTTACAAGCTTCAGTCCACCAAGGGCAGTCAAGTCAGGGACTGAAGCAGAGACAGCGGAGGAATGCTGCTTACCAGCTTGCTCTCCAAGGCTTGCTCAGCCTGCTTTCTCACCTGCTTAGGGGTGGCACTGCCTGTAGTGGGCTGAACCTTCCCACATTAGTTATTAAGCAAGAAAATGTCCCAGGGCCTTGCCTACAGTCAGTCTTGGGGAAGCAGTTTCTTAATTGAGGTTTCCTCTTCCCAGATGACCCTACTATATGTCAAGTTGACAAAAAAGATGACTGGCACAGTTAATTTCAGTGTATTTTCAAGTTCTGGTTAAAAACTTTAAATACAAATAGAGGTGACATGGCCTGGAGAGATGGCTCAGAGGTTAAGAGCACTGGCTGCTCTTCCATAGGTCCTGAGTTCAATTCCCAGCAATCACATGGTGGTTTACAATCATCTATAATGAGATCTGGTGCCCTCTTCTGTTGTGCGGGCATACATGCAGGAAAAGGATGGATACATAATAAATAAATCTTAAAAAAAACAAAAACAAAAACAAATAAGGTGACAGACCAGTGCACTGGAGAGCCTAGTGAGAAAGGGAATCTAAATCAAGAAGCCTGGGAAGGACGGGAAGATTCTATAGAACAAGAATGAGAGGTGGTAGAGAGAGAATTTGGATGGTGAGAAATGAAATATGTCACATAGAAGTCTATGGCTTTTGTTTTTGTTTTTGGGAATAGAACTCCAAGATGTTAGTTAAGTGTTCTACTAATTAGCCTATGCTCCATGACCCTGAGGTGTTTGGCTTTTTGATTAGAGGCAAGGTCACTTGCATGTACTGGAATTGGTGTAGGGGCATAACAGAGATTGGAGGTAGCTTTAATTGACTTAGGATCAACATACATGTCATGAAGTGATTGCAAACCATTTACTTGTGATGTTAATATAAATTTGTAGTTTGTAGTTAAAAAGATACTTTGTGAGTTTTTCCCCTGTAAGAGTAATTGGGGGATCATTCATTAGCAACAAGAATATGAAGCACTTTTGAATGGAATGAGGTAATTAACCAGAAAACCCATGGTTGGCAGAAAAATGAGTAAAGTCAAAATGAGAGCTCTGAACCAGGAATAGAGGTGGTGAGAGCCTTACTATAATGAAGGTGGCCAGTAAAGGAATTAAAGAGTTGGGAGAATCAGAGTTTCTGGGGATAGAAATCACAGAGCCAGCCATGAAGACCTACCCATGTTAACCAAAAGTTGGATGACTACGTATTTTCACTGTGACTTCTGGTTCTTAGCAGGGCTGTGCATATGAATAGTCTAATATTTACTTTTAGTTTGTGTTTATACATGGGTGCTTACATGCATGTATGTGCACCACATATGTGTGACTGGTACCCAAGGAGGTTAGGGTATTAGATTATGTTGAAGTGGCGTTACGGGAAATTGTGAACTGCCATGTAGGTACTGGGAACCTAACTCAGGTCCTCTGCAAGAGCATCGAGTGCTCTTAAGCACTGAGCATCTCTCCACCACCTACTTATTTTATTTTTATTTTTCACCTATTTGTTTTTAAAGGTATATAAGCACTATTATAACTATTTGTATGTGTGTATGTATATGTGTGTGCAAGAGTGCATGTACTGTGGTACATGTGTGGAGGTCAGAGGACAACTGTCAGGAATGGTTTCTCCCCTACCATATGGGTCCTGGGGATTGAACTCCAGTTGGCAGGTTTGGCAGGTGGCAGGTGTCTTTATTCACTGAGCCATCTCACCTGCCTTCATTCATTTTTTTGATGTGTGGGGACTGAACCTAGGGCCTTAGGAATTGTAAGCATGCTTTGAACCACTGAGTGTAGAATACTTTCTATAGAAGTGCTTAGGTCTTCCAGAATTCTGATATTAATAGGTCCAGGATCTGTTTCTTCTAGATTGTGTTTTCTAATATGGTAGCCACTGGCCACATGTTCCTGCCTGCCTTTTCCTTTTAAAATTTAACGTGGGGTCTTTGTATATGCTAAAATACAAGCCAGGATAGCTTTGAATTTTCAGTCTTGCCCCCGCAACCTCACGTATTGGGATTACAGGCATATTCCATGATACCCAGCCACGTAAGTGTTTGAATTAAGTTCTGCTATAGGTATAAAATAACAAATTTTGAAAACCTAGTGAAAAAGGTAAAATTATTTCATTAGTAACTTAAAAATACTCATTATATGTTAGTATATGTACTTGTATTATATTTCTTCTGGAGAGCATCTGAGGTGATACTTGTATATCCATGGTGACAGTTCCTGCCCTGAAGGATGCAAATAAATTAAAAGCCATCTGAGCCTTCCCTGAGAGAGTTCACAATTTAATGGAGGAAGAGAAAACTGGAAATGAAACAAAGGCTCCTGTAACTGATGTGTTCCATTGTATGATACTCAGACTAACTGAGAAGTAAGTAGAGTTTAGAAGCATATCAGAACAGAAATAATCCAGTTTATAGGGGAGCATGACTTGTGTAATCAAGGACAGGTGAAAACTGAACCAATCTTGAGGTTAAAGTTGGGTCAGTGCTTCCTAAGCATGTAAATGAATGCAAGGCAGTTAGGATAGTGGCTTGTTTTGGGGATGGGGAAATTTGCTTGACCCAAAAGAATGTATATTTTGTTGGTGAGTAGTGGGAGATTAAATTGGAGACATAGAGCAGGACCTAGTGGCTAGGGACCTTACAGGATGATTGAGCAATAAATATGGACTGTTTGGAGTATTCTGTGGAAACACCTGGCAGAGCTGAGGAAAGATTATGAGGCTAGTTGACAGGCTTCATGTTAGATTCAAGTGTTTAGGTTTGATCAGATTAACATAAAGAGGAAATTGCAGCCCTGCCTGGGAGCACAAGTCTGTAATCCCAGCTCTTCCTGAGAGGGAGGCCGGAAGATCTCAAATTGAAGGCTACTGGGGTAAAGATTGAATTCAAGGCTAAATTGGGCAATTTAGTGAGACTACTGTCTGAAATGACAGGTACAAAAATCCTCCTAACTTTTTCACCTGGGCCACATTTTGCATGCCAGTGATTCTGACATCCAGGTTTTCTCCTGAGTTCTAGAACTGAATTATATGATTTCTGATTATACTACTTATAAAATATTCTCATGAGGGTACTAATGGGAGAGCACTATAGTATATACTAATAAGGACAGAATATTTTTGTTATACTAGCACATTCCGTTTAAATGCTTTGTAAAGAGTCAATTACCAGCATATGTAAACTGTCATATATAAATGACTCTGAGTTGTCTAGGATCTGATTTATTATTGTTTTAATTTCTCCCTTAAAGGGAATAACAAAAATTTTCTGTATTGCCTGGCTGTCCATGATTTTCTTTTGAAATTGTCAGACATTTCTCTTATCTCTATCCTCCTCCTCTTTTCTTTTCTTTTCTTTTCTTTTCTTTTCTTTTCTTTTCGTTTCCAGATCTCCGAGTTGCCCAGGTTAGCCATATACTTTGGAGCTCAAACAGTGCAACTTTCTAAGACTTCTGAGTAGCTTGGGGTTATAGTAGCTGAAATTGCCAGCTTTGCTTCAAAAGATGGAATTATTTTGCAGGTGAAGAGAGATAACTTTTCTGCATCGAGTTAGGCAGGGTTCTCTAGAGAAACAACTTACAGAATGAAATCTCTGTATGTAGAAAGGAGCTTAGACTGACTTTCATTAGAATGACTTTCATTAGAATGACTTTCAGGCTTGGTCCAGCTAATCCAATAGTAGTTGGCTGTGAATGGAAAGTTGAAGAAGCCAGATGTTGCTCAGTCCACAGGGCTAGATGTCTCAGCTGGTCTTCAGTAGACTGTGGAACTCTGAAGAAGTAGGCTCTAATACCAGTGAAGGAATGGGCTTGCTAGCAAGGCAAGAGCAAACAGGCAAAGAGCAAAAGCTTCCTTCCTGCAAGTCCTTATATAGGGTTCCAGCAGAAGTTATGGTCCAGATTAAAGGCATGTGTTTTCTCACATCAAGATCTGCAATACAAGTGTATCTTCCTATTTCAAATTAAGCAAAAAGTCTTTTTTCTTCCTCATAGGTATGCCCTTCACTTTTAGATTTAGTTAGTTCCAGATGTAGTCAAGTTGACAGCCAAGAATAACCATCTCATTCTCCAGTATTCAGTTAGATATCTGAGTTAGGGTCTCTATTGTAGACCAGGCTGGCCTCCAATGTGAGATCATCCTATCTCTGTCTCCCAAGTGATGGGGTGGAGTGGTGGTAGACACACTCCTGCACACAACACAGATATATATATATACAGGTCATTTTCCTAGCACTGAGGTTACAGATGGTTGTGTGCCACCATGTAGGTTCTGGGAATCAAACCTAGGTCCTTGGGAAAAGCGCCCAGTGCTTTTAACTTCTGAGCCACCCTCACCTTTTGAAACAGGTTTCTCACTGGCCTGAGATTCCCCAGTTCAGCAAGGCTGACTAGCCAGGGGACCTCAGGGATCCACTCATTTCTGCCCCTTTAGCTCTTGGATTGCAGGAGTGCTTCACCATGCGCAGCTTTATTACATGGGTTCCTGATAATTATATTTGGGATCTCATGTGTCCATGAGTTTATTGACTAAATTATTTTCTTAGCCACACACTTTAGTGTTTTTAACAAGATAGATGTTAATAAAGTTTAATTCTTCAAGGAAGACACTTTAGGATATGCTAATTTTTATGTAAATATTACTATATCTGTTACATCTCTTTTTTTTCTTAGATATATAAACATTTAACTGGAATGTATTTTAAACAAAGCTTTATTTATAGGATTTTCTGACTTGGCAAAATAAAGACTATGGGTCAGCTCGGAGTATCATTCGTATTATTGGGAAAATGCTTCCCTTAGAACCTTGTCGAAGACCTAATTTTGAGGTAAGTTAGTCACTATGCATTGTTTAAGCCCTGTGTATAAAGTAATCCTGGGTATTCTCAGGAGAATAGGATAGAAGGAAAAAGAAGAAATGTGCCTGAAAGCCAAGGGCCTTTACTGCTAGAAATAAATCATCTCATACATGTTTTTGTTTCTTTAATTATATCCAAAGACAGGTACAAAGAATACCTGGAAGCTTGTTTTTACCTTACTTTACTTATATTTTTGCTGTATGATTGATGAGACTAGCCATGGGGAGAAAATGTTGTTATATGCTTAGGTAGTAGAGTAACATTTCTGCAGTGTTTTCCCTTTTCTGTTTGGGACTGTTAACTTATTTTATATGATGAAGCACGAGGCATGTGCTTCCCTTGATTCCTGATGGAGCTCTGAGTTTGTTTCCATTTTTGTTTTAGTTGATCCCACATTTGAACTCTGAGGAATTTGATGATTATGAACCTACGGTTCCATCTTTTGCTGACGTTTTATGTGTGGCAAATGATGAAGAAGCTGGTTATCTCAGATTTCGGTAATTTTATATGCTTGTCTTGGGACATGGATGTAGCCTAAAACTTGAATTCTTGCATGCACTGAAGTTTGTTCCTACTTACTGGACAGTTTTGTCCTGTTTTTGTGGCATGCTGTGTCCTGATATTTTCCTAATATCAGGAATGGCATCTCATTTTTTAGTATATATATTTAAAAAAAATGTTCTTTGCATTTAAGTTTTTGAAAGTTATTTTTCCCTTTCATACACAAATGCATTTTATTTTTATCAAATCACCCCCTCAGCTTTCCACTCCAACTCTTCCTATATCCTTGTTACTCTTCCCAATTTCATGTTGTCGTGTATATGTGTGTGTGTGTGTGTTTGTGGGTATAAAATCTGAGTCCTGTCTAATTAATGGTATCTTTATGTACATGGGTGGAGGGCTGTCTTTTAGAACCTGAAGTACATTGCTCCAAGATCTTTTGCCTTTTAAAATTTCTATTGAGAAGTCAGTTGTTATTCTAATGTGTTTGCCTTTATATGAATTATATCTTCTTTCTTGAAGATTGCACATCCTTCAAAGATTCTAGCTAATTTTATTATGTGTCAAACTGGTTTATTAATTTTAAAAGAATTAAAAGATATAAACTGACCCTAATATAGTCCTGAATGCAAGGCCCTTCTGAGCCTTATTATGTAGAATATCTGAATGAGCTTATACTATTTAAAGTTAGTAAAATAATTATAGGATAACTATTTCTGATTTACAATTTGAGAAAAGATTCATTTTCTCATTTCTTTGCTGCTTATTGGCCATGTGTTCTATATATGAATACAAAAGTAAAGAGTAATATGAAGCTCCTTTTCTTGGTGAGTCTTGGGATACTCTCAGGGCAAAGAGAGGTACTCTGATTTTATTTAGCTGCTTGTTTATGTTTGTATGCTAGAGATTAAATCCAGGGCCTTGCACCTGCTAGGCCAGCACTTTGTACTCAGGCACATCCCTAGCCCCTGTTTCTTTTCCCTGAAAAATTTATTTATTTGTTATTTGTATGTGGTGGGGAAGGGGTATGTGTCTGTGAATGCAGGTGCTGGAGTTTTGGGGATTAAACAGCCTAACTTGGATTCTGGGGCCAGGACAATCTGAACTTCATGAGAATCTGTCTCAAAAGAAAAAACAAAACAAAACAAAAAACCAACTTACTTTGCAAGAACCATGTATACTCTTTAAACACTGAGCCATCTTCTCTCCAGCCCTGTTTTTCTTTTTCTTTCTCTCTCTCTCCTTTTCCTTTTTTTTTTGAGATCTGGTTTCAGCCCTGACTGTCCTGGAACCTGCTTTGGAGACCAGGCTGGCCTTGAACTCACAGAGATCCTCCTGCCTCTGTCTCCTGAGCACTGTGATTAAAGGCATGAACCATTTCTAGCTGAGTTTTTCTTTTTCAGTTGAACATTTTCCTTTCTTAGTTTCTTTTTTCCTTTCACCCACAGACATAGTCCCTGGAAAAAGGAAGAGGAAGAGAAAATTGCTCTTTTCCATTCTCCAAAATTAATTTGGGATCCATCATTACCTGCTCTAAGACAGAACAAACCAGTGAAAAATGATCTGCCAGCAAGTGAGGCTGCAATTAAAAAAATAGCTGCCCTTGAAGATGAACTCACTTTTCTTCGGTCTCAGATTGCTGCAATTGTGGCAATGCAGGAGCTGAGAGAGAGTAAAGAGAGTAAGTAGTACAGGACTTTTGTTACTGTGAGAGTGATACTGAGCTGATACTTAAGTCAGCACCATTCTGAACATAAACAACAGAAAATACACAGTAGAAGGCGATTGCCATATGCATTTATGTCTGATGGTCACTCAGAGTAAACCAAGAGCTGCCAAGAAGAACTAGCTGTGCTATAGAAGATATTTGTTTAAGAAGTTATGACTTTCTTTCTTTTTGTTTTTCTTCGAGACAGGGTTTCTCTGTGTGTCCTGGCTGTCCTGGAACTCACTCTGTAGACCAGGCTGGCCTCAAACTCACTGAGATCCACCTGCCTCTGCCTCCTAAGTGCTGGGATTAATGACTGCACAACCACTGCCTGGCAAGTCATGACTTCTAAGTAAGCTTTTCTAATTCTTCAGCCAAGAACTGGAAGCCAGGCATGGTGGCTCACACCTGTAGTTCCAGAATGCAAGAGGCTGAAGCAGGAGGATTGCCTTGAGTTATAAGGCAGTCTTGGCCATAGAGTGAGAACATGTGTCAAAAACCAAAAATGTGGCCTGGGGATAGTTGACAGGATGCTTGCCTCTTGTTCACAAGGCTTTGGGTTAAAACCACAGTATGGCATAAAACAGGGCACTTGGGCAGATGAGGCAGGAGGACTAAAAGTTCAGGGTCATCTGTAGCTACACAGAGTCTGAGGTTAGCCTGGGCTTTATGAAAACCTTTCTCAGTACCAGAAAATGGAAAGATCTCCCATGCTCTTGGATAGGTAGGATCAACATAGTAAAAATGGCAATCTTGCCAAAAGCAATCTACAGATTCAATGCAATCCCTATCAAAATCCCAACACAATTCTTCACAGACCTTGAAAGAACAATTCTCAACTTTATATGGAGAAACAAAAGACCCCAGGATAGCCAAAACAACCCTGTACAATAAAGGAACTTCTGGAGGCATCACCATCCCTGACTTCAAGCTCTATTACAGAGCTATAGTACTGAAAACAGCTTGGTATTGGCACAAAAATAGACAGGTAGACCAATGGAATATAGTTGAAAACCCTGATATTAACCCACACACCTACGAACACCTGATTTTTGACAAACAATCTAAATTTGTACGAGAATATCTTTAACAAATGGTGCTGGCATAACTGGATGCAGGCATGTAGAAGGCTGCAGATAGATCCAAGTCTATCGCTATGCACCAAACTTAAGTCCAAATGGATCAAAGACCTCAACATAAATCTAGTCACACTGAACCTATTAGAAGACAAAGTGGGAAATACTCTTGAATTAATTGGTACAGGAGACCGCTTCCTGAACATTACACCAGTAGCACAGACACTGAGATCAACAATTGGTAAATGGGACCTCCTGAAACTGAGAAGCTTCTGTAAGGCAAAGGAGACAG